CCATATATATAATATATATATTAATTGTTTTCTAAAAAGTACCTATCCATATTATATTTGTAGCAACAATTCATCATTAGAAAAAGCCAAAATCTTATTTATAGAGGAGGGCATAAAAACAGAAAAAATGAAACATAAAACTGAGAGGAAATAAGAAGCTGAACAACTCAAGATAGAATTATAAAATGTTATTGCAAGAACTATCATGATCTGGTTTTCCACTACCTCCAGAAAATAATTAAATTTATTTAACTTTTTATAAGTTAAACAAATTTAATTATTATAAAAATAAAAATGCCTCTATTCAGGTCCAACAACTTTTAGTTAAGCCTAGATCATACTGATAGTCAATTAGATATTGATGATGATGAAAGAATATCACAGAAAAAAATATGTGAAAATACAGATTATAATTTTCAGTGTATTTTGTAGTTATTTCAGTATGTTGTATTGCATAAAAGAAATGTATGAATTATGTTTCACTTTTGTCTAAGAAAAAATATATTCAATTTTATCAATAGTAAATTTAGATGTTTGTGATTAGAATGTTTAACATGCATCTCAGATTTTTTATTCACATACATACTCTGACATACAAAAATAAACAATTTCACATGTATTCTCTAGTGCAGTGTTTTGCAACTTTTTTTCTACTTGCAGCACACCCATGACTTGACATGACTCAACAGGGCATACTAAAATGGTGGCGCTGAACGTTTGACATTCACGTTTTCATGATGAAAACTTCAGCCACAACCTCTCTAATATGTACAAGGAGCATTCAAGTTGTAAGGTATTCCCTTAGAAAAAAGGAACAGGTAAAAACATGCCATTCGTTTCAAAAGAAGCAGACATTCTTTGTGGTTACATAACAGAGAGGGTAGCACTGCATGGTGCACGGATCTCTAGCAGCAGCAGTTTGAGTGACAGGTGTTTTTTAATACTTAAAATGGCGATGTTTTCATTACAAGAACGATGCATAATCATTTGTTTTCTGCACTTGTGTAGAGTGACACCCACTGAAATTCATTGCTAATTGAGTGGCACATGTGATGGTGTCATGGATGTGAAAAATGTGTGTATGTGGGTGCAGCAGCTCAAAGAAGGGCAAACATTGTGTGACAACGAACCAAAACATCCATTCCTGCGCACTAGCCAGTCTGACAACATGATTGCGCATGTGCAGCAAGCTGCTTCATGCACACAATCATGTTGTCATGAATTGCTTTTAGCATTGCAAGAAAAACAGCTGGGAAAGGCTGTATGTGTGCTATTCCATCAAGACAATGATCCAGCTCATTGGGCAATGTTAACAGGAGTTTCTTCATGAAAACAACTTTGAAGTGGTTTCTCATGCTCACTACTCACCTGATCTTGCTCCTAGTGATTTTTGGCTTTTTCCAATGATTTTCCAGTCATGCCGCTCTAACATCAGCAATTTTCTAGTGGCAAAACAGACCCCTAAAGAAGCATTTGTAGTAGTCATGATCTCATGGCTTCGATGTTGTGAAAAATGTGTACATCTTCAGGGAGATTATGTTGAGACGTGACAGAAGTTTCAATTTGTTTGTATAAGTATTTTATCAGAAAAAAAATGGAAGACCTTAGAAGTTGAATGCACCACGTAGAAGTTCACATTACACCTTTCATCTTCTGATGGCACACCAGTGTGCCATAGCACACTTGTTGCACAGTTGCAACACTGCTCTAGTGTAACCAATATATTGTAGTGACTCCCGTAGATCGAAATCCACAGAGTATCTGAAGAAAATAATGTGACAAGGACTCAATCATCAACCAAAAACATGTGCACATAACCAACAAACAAGTTATTTATTTTAACAATACAAGGTGTGATAACAAGGTGATATGATTAATACAACTCAATTTTCACAGATAACTAATTCAATTCACGTCTTACAAGCTAACAGATTTACACATATCCATACACTTCTCTTTCCTCTGTACATCTATTACATGCAATGGTACTGAAAGATCCACGATAACATATTGGTCGTGAATAGGACAAAAGATACATACGAAATATCAATATCTCAAAACTAATTGTTCCATTGGAAACCTTGAATAGTTCAAGATGCAAGATATATATCTTTCACTGATGTCTCATTATTTTGGCACGATGGAAACAGATTGTCCCATTTCAATCGAAGATGTCCCTTTGTTAACAGCTACCATCTCCTGGTTCAGCTTGGAGGATCCTACTAACTTCTCATCTTCTAATCTTCCAGACAAGTCTAAAAGCAAGAGAGAGCACACAATGTGAAAGTTTGTTGATTTATATTTCCCGTGCTCCAGAAGTGGGCCTCTTGCATGTGAACCAATCAGAAGGTTCCAATCATTGCACCCGAGTAAAGGTAATACCAGGGCAAGAAACAGGAGGTTCATGCGATACACTGTACAAAAATATCAGAATAAACAAACATTAAGAACATATACAAAGATATATAAAATAATGTATAATACATAGTTGCATAGCACTACAATATAGAACTCCTCTTAATGATTTTAATTACATATTTGTGTATAATAATTATCTATTGGCAACTGTCTAATGGAAGTTTTTGATGTGATATGTTTGCAGATTAACTTGCTTGCTTAATTAAATATCAAATTGATATTAGATTTTTAGAAAAATTCAAAATACATTAGTTATAATAAAGTATTTTTAAAAACAGTATAATACATATGTTTGGTAATATAAAACCCAACATGTGTACAATTTAAAAAAATACTTGATTATATAAATTTCATTTAATATGTGTTAAGTAAAAACTGTTTTGCACTATTTGTGAAATAAACACTAACTTTGGTTTATTAAGTACAGTACACTATGAAGAATAGTTGTTATAAAATTTTTTATTTTGATATGAAATTTTCATATTTTATATCTAAGTAATGTTGTGCTAATGAATTCTGAGATGAAAGTTTTAAACAAAATTTTTGAAATTTGAAATAAAATGAAAACACACAAAAAAAAATCTTAATTATTTAAAGATTAATTTTGTTTTTTATATGATTGGTTCACTATCAAATTATTCCTGAAAAGGACCTTTTGTTATTCCTAGAAGTCCTAGAAACTTGACATTTTGTATAACTCATGTCATTCAAGAAAAAATTTACATGTAATCTAATTTTTATCTCTATAAATTAACACTAGGGTCAAATAAGTTGTCGTTCTTCACTGGTGGCACTTCATAATAGCATCAATTTCACATGTTAACAAAGAATATAAACTTTTTCTAAGTTGCTACTGCAAAACACCATGTCATCAATGTCACTAAGATCTCAAAAGTAGCTACTGAATATCTAATAGTTTTTTAATTATAAAAACAGTTAGATTAACCAGATTAACCATTTAGATTACCACACCAAAATATTATCCATTAAAACAAGAAATAACTACTATCTATCAGCATTAAACAGTTATCATCATCAACACAAGCACTTTTGACATTTTATCAATGTCATCTTCAAACAAAGAACATAACTTTGAAATATTAAAATTTTATAAAAAAGAACAGTAAATATTTGAAAATGCCACATTAAATATTCAAAAAGAAATTCAAATTTTATAAGTTAAATTTAAACCAACACAGGCACAAGAACAGCATGCACATAGATAAATTAGTATGAAATAACAATAAATTAGATAAAATAATAAATAAACATTTACATGATGTCAGTATAATCAAAATGCTTTAGTTATAAACAAGTATTCTGTTGCCATGGTATTACCTATTTGCCATAATTCTGAATTTAATAATGGCTTATAAATATTTCTTATTATTTTATCTAATTTTATTGTTTCATACTAATTTATCTCTGTGCAAGATGTTCTCGTGCTTATGTTGGTTTATATTCTCATTCGTTCATTTTTTCCACTGTAGTTTCATGAGTTGGATTTTGGTTGTGTAAGTGTTTTGAATAACTTGGATTATATTTAGAATATGTAATTAAAATTTTGTTAGTATAATATTAATTTATAAAATTATAATTTGTAATAATACAACTTATATTATTATAATTTTCATTACAATTAAATTTCCACATATATACTTTATTCCATTATCCTGCAAATTTTTGTTGTTTCTTCATAAATAAATAATCATAAATCTTTTATTCTAAATTATAAAAATATGTAGATGAAGAACATTAAAGATGATGATATTTTGCACAAGATATTAATGAAGTCTAATTTTTAAAGATACTTATGAAATATTGCCACCAAAGAACAGAAACATCAGAAGATATGCCTCATCCAATAGACGATGATATATTACCTCCATACATGCCTGTAAAGAAAGATGGAGCACCACGCATCACTATGACCTCAGCCATATCTTTGATAAATCGGTAAATTTAACAAATATATAATTTTTAATATAATAATAATTAAATTAAATCAAAATTATTCAAGTATTGATCTATAAATATATATATCTAATTTTAATATAATGAGTTAAAAATTTTTTTACATAATTAAACCTTAATTCTGCTTATTTTTAAAATTCAGCTTTAAAAATATTTTGAGCAATGTTTAACATTAACTGCCATCCGATGTGCTGGCGGTCATACTAGTTACGGCCATACAGAGCCATCCGACCACCCGACATCGTATAAACATTGTAGTTTCACTCAAGGTTAAATTATCCTGGCTTCATAAGATGTTTTACATGCTAGTGGTGGCCTCTCACGGACATCTATGAAGTTGGTTCCGACCTCCGGCCGTCGTATGGCCTCATGAAGTGGTTCGACGGCCTGAGGTCGTAATGTTTTTTTTAATAAAAATCTATTTTATATCTGATAGTGTTTTTTTTTTAATAGTAAATAGTTAAAAATATCTAAAACTAGTTTAATTATTCTCTTTTATCACATATAAAATAAATAATATTACAAAACAAAAATCAAAGTATATAAGTGCGAAATAATATATATTTACAGAAAAAAACAACATGTGCAGTCCAAACAAATTGTAAAACACTTTTTAACACATAGATGTAAAAACTTTTAATTAGGTGAGCACGTGTAATTACAGTTGGTTTGTAATATATACAGTGGGTGATCAGTTAACGAACATAATCCGTTCCAAGACTTTGTTCGCTATCCGAATTGTTTGTTAACCGATTATCGATTTATCATAGGTTTTAATGGGAATTTAATTAATTCGTTCTGGAGACTCCCCAAAATAAAAAACATAGGCTATACTTTCTTACTACGTTCATTTATATGTAATAATAAAAATACATACGTACACAGTCTTGCGTTAAACTGAAGAAACATGACTAATAAGTCATGTTTTTTCAGTTTGAAAGGGTTAAAGAATCTGTCTAATGTCGATTGCTTTTCTCTTTTCTTCAGGATTTTTCGTAAGTAATTAATAGCATTGCAATTGTAGAAATCCCCAAGCCTCAACCTGGTTTGGATGCCATTTTAAGTTAAAAACAGTATAATACATATGTTTGGTAATATAAAACCCAACATGTGTACAATTTAAAAAAATACTTGATTATATAAATTTCATTTAATATGTGTTAAGTAAAAACTGTTTTGCACTATTTGTGAAATAAACACTAACTTTGGTTTATTAAGTACAGTACACTATGAAGAATAGTTGTTATAAAATTTTTTATTTTGATATGAAATTTTCATATTTTATATCTAAGTAATGTTGTGCTAATGAATTCTGAGATGAAAGTTTTAAACAAAATTTTTGAAATTTGAAATAAAATGAAAACACACAAAAAAAAATCTTAATTATTTAAAGATTAATTTTGTTTTTTATATGATTGGTTCACTATCAAATTATTCCTGAAAAGGACCTTTTGTTATTCCTAGAAGTCCTAGAAACTTGACATTTTGTATAACTCATGTCATTCAAGAAAAAATTTACATGTAATCTAATTTTTATCTCTATAAATTAACACTAGGGTCAAATAAGTTGTCGTTCTTCACTGGTGGCACTTCATAATAGCATCAATTTCACATGTTAACAAAGAATATAAACTTTTTCTAAGTTGCTACTGCAAAACACCATGTCATCAATGTCACTAAGATCTCAAAAGTAGCTACTGAATATCTAATAGTTTTTTAATTATAAAAACAGTTAGATTAACCAGATTAACCATTTAGATTACCACACCAAAATATTATCCATTAAAACAAGAAATAACTACTATCTATCAGCATTAAACAGTTATCATCATCAACACAAGCACTTTTGACATTTTATCAATGTCATCTTCAAACAAAGAACATAACTTTGAAATATTAAAATTTTATAAAAAAGAACAGTAAATATTTGAAAATTCCACATTAAATATTCAAAAAGAAATTCAAANTGGTCACACAAGTCAGGAATTTTATTGAATTTGCATTAAAAGGTAAAAATCTTTTAATGCAAATTTTTATCCTTTCAGCTTGGCTCCCCAAGATTAATCTTGAGTGCACCACTGTTGCATTGTCTAATCTTATCAATCTATTTTTTGATTTTCTGCTCTATCAGCACTAAAAGGGTCTTTTAACCATGCTTATCATTAGATTGGGCAGGTCCACAATGGGGTCGGTGAGGGAAAGACCACAAATCACAGACAGACTACCTACTTATGCCAGTTTGATTTTTTGAGTTGGAATTTTTTCAACACTGGAATTCGAGCCCAGGATGGCAAACCTTTTTGGGTCCGAGTCTAAAGTAGATACACATAGATATATTTAACTTTAAAAAAATAAATAAATAAATAAAATAGAATAAAAAATAGAATTAAAATAAACTGAAATCTATGTATTTCAAAATAAACAAAATTTGATAATACTGTATATTGTGTACCACATTGGACACATGTGCCCAATGTGGTACACAATATATCGTCACCACACCTGTAGTAGTGTGGTGAATTAATATGAACAACTGTATTTAGATGGTTTTAGAGTCAGTTTCTTTTATATTCACAAAATATCGATGAATTGAATAAAAAAAAAGTCCAGCAACAAGTTGCCTAACTTTCCCTCTGACTTTTAAAACTTAGTTTGGCACCATTTGTATATTTTATTTAAAAACTTCTCATATTTGAAATTATTACAGAATGACAAAAGGCATAATTTTGAGGGTAGAGATTGGTTTTATAAAAATGTAAATGCTAATAATGAGTAAAATCATCATTAAGTCTGGCCCTGTTTGAGATATGACATGACCCTCTTTATCTCCCCACCCCCTTGACCTTTAACCACCAAAATTTAATAGCATTAATCCTCTAATACACAAACTCCCTGCAAAACACATGTACACATACAGGAAAAAAAATCTCCATTTTTTTGCATTTCTCAATGTTTCAAGGTCCCGAGTTCAAAATATAAAAATCTTTGGAGTAATTTTTTGACTGATTGCCATGCTTTTCCTCTGTTATATATAACAAAGCCAGGAAAGTAAAAAGTCATATTTATAAGAGAATCTATGAAAATTTTACTGAAACATCTACGTATCATTAGTAGTTAACTAATACATTATATAATCTTTTAGTCGGTCATTTCAATTGGACATTAGCATCATAGATTACTTTGTATACAGGTATACCCTACTTAACAAGGTTTTACTTAACATGGGATTTGATTAAAAAAAACAATTATGTGGCAATCCTTTTATATATGTGGCAGAAGTTTTTTAATTAACATGGCTTTATCAGCTATCTTTACTTAATATTGATATTATATTTGATTAACATGATTTAGATATAGCAATTAGCATCAGCGGATTAATTAACCACATAATCAAGGGATACCTGTTTTTATATAACACAATTTAGGTTTTTTAAAAATTTTTAACTTTGTGTGGATTTATCTAAACTTACTTTATTTAAAAATAAACACATCAGTGTAGCTTAATTGAAATGCATGACTCATATGTATGCTGTTTACTGGACAAAGTGTAAATTTTCTGACCAAAAACTTCATACTTCAGTAAATGGCAACCATACTTTCCTATCTTGTTATTAAAGATGATATACATAACTGCTTGAAATGGCAATATTGAAGGATACAATGAAACATCAGCTTTATGTAAGTGAAAGGCACCTGAGGAAATGAGAGAAGACATTTTCTATCTGTTTTTTAGCTTTTGTTCCAGATTGACTACTCCCTTAAAACCTTTAAGGAAATCCTTTAAGAATTATGCCATGGTTTTCTTCAGATTGTAGATGAGTTCTCTTGTTGACTAGAAGTGGGAAAAGTAAATTATTCTTGTATGTCTTTACTTTCAAGTAAAGATGCAGGCAAACAATTCTCTAAAATTGTTTTATCTACATTTTAGAATTCCTGGAGTATGTTGGACATTTAAATATTCTGTATTTAGTGATCTGGATAGTTAGACAACATCAAGAGATGAGCTGAAGAGAAACTGAATGTTTGTTTGAACATAGATGTTGTTTACCACTTTTGAGATGGCACAAGAAAAACAACAATTTGTTACTTAATTTTTATATAATAGTTAAGATAGGTTAATAGTTCTGTACTACTAAACTTTTAAATTATAAAATAACATACAAATTGTAAATTATATTTCAAAAGCTAGAATTGATTTTTGATTCAGCTGGTCGTCATGTGATTGTAGTTCTATTTTTTTATTTTTTTCCACAATTTGTCTATATAGACCAGTGGTTCCCAATTAGTGCCATTTATAGTGGTTCCCAATCATAGTGGTTCCCAATTAGTGCCATATATAGTACCCCTGGGGTACGCGAAATTGTGTGAAGGGGTACGCATGGCAATCTAAAATCGGTCAATTTAAAATTTAAATGCATGAGATGAAGCAATCAAAAAAATAACACAGATCTGCAAAAAAAAATTTTTTTCAGCTGCATGGAATATTTTTGCTGAATTATATGTTTTAAAGATCACAGATTCTAAAAATGTCTGTTACATCCCATCACGTAAAGGTTTTTTGCAAAATAAAAATATTTTTGATAAAAACTCTTATAATATATTTAGTTCATTGTAATAAATATTTTCTTACAACTAATCAACAAATTGTTTCTGATATTTATACACAATTTTAGGTCTTTTCTTATGAAACCTTTTCTTTTCTTTTTGATGCTCCTCCAAACTCATTTCCAATTTCCTTCTCTGGTTTCTCGATCAAGCATCCAACAGTAGTCAGCTAAGATATTGACATCGCATTTTCCTTGGTAACGTCTCTCGTTATCATGGACATCCTGGTGAAATCTTTCACAATGTTCTTCATTGTAGGCTCCAAAGTTTTCGTGAAAATAGTCAATATGGGAGTGTAAGAAATGAACTTTTAAACTCATCTTGCATCCTCGAGCTTCATACGCTGGCAGCAGCATATGAAGCTCGAGGATTGTACAATGCATGCTGCTGCCAGTATGCGTTGTACAATGGTTTTGTAGTCAGGGTCCTTAGTATTCCCCAAAAACTTATGCACTACATTCTTGAAAGAGTCCCATGCTTCTTTTTCCTTTTCTCCTATTGTTTCCAGAAATCTGCTTTGTTTCGATCTCCAAGTTTCAATTTGAAATATGCAAATTAAACTTTCTTCACAAACTCACTTATGTTTCTTTGTTGACTATTCATTGCATATTCACCACAAACATAACAGAAACTGTCGGGAGAAATTACACAACCTCTGCGAGCCATATTCCAGAAATAAAAATACAAGGGCAGTAGCGTTCGAATGCTGGATATAAACTGAGTGTGGCATTAGATGGTCAGCAAGATACTGAACTTATTTAGCTTGTTGAAACATGAACTAATCCAACAGCAGGTTGTTTATATTTATTCCTAGTATCCCAGATAACATGTCAAAACATGCTCAACCTCACCAATAATATTACTCACTATCAACTTTTAACCTGTTTCTATACTATCATGCAACCTTTTTTCTAACGCTAAAAGTACTTAACCCATCTCCCCCTACCACTACTCTCTTCAACCATTAACATTTTTATTTATTTATTACCAAGTCCAGCTATAATTGATAGAATTAATGGGAGAAATCTTCGTTTTAAGGCTATTTTTTAAATAAAAAAATAGTAAATTTTAAGTTAACTAGGAATTTAACACTAAATACAAACAAAAACTTGAGTGTAACAAAAAAATTGATGAGATGGAATTTTTTAAATATTTTTTTCGTTTTTACCAAGTTGAAATCTGTAAGACAGTGTTTTTCAACCTGTGGGTTGCGACCCCCAGGGGGTTCGCAAAGCCTTACACGGGGGGTCACGGGTAAAAAAAAAAGACAAGTGTTTGTAGGTCCTAAACTACAATAAATAAAAATACAATTTCAGTGAGAAGGCTTTGCATTTTTATTTTAAAGTACAATTGGTTTTTCGATCGATATTTAGGTCTCAACAGAAAGAAAATTAAATACGTAGTTTTTAAAATCACTGATACAGTTTTAATATGCCCTGGCGGGTCGCCAGAATTTTTTTAACTTGTAAAGGGGTTGCGTATTCAAGAAGGTTGAAAAACACTGCTGTAAGAAAATGTATAAAAATCCTTTGCAGTTTTTTACTTGCAGACCTGTGTAATGGGTGGACCATCAAAAATTCGGAAATTTACAACACGATGTCGAATGCGCAAATTCATTTATTTATAACTAAAAATATTCTCGAAATTTCATTAAAAAAATGCATTTGTGACGATATCTAAATGAAATTCTTACGCAAGAAACAAAAATTGTTCAATTAACACAATTTGTGTTAATTGTACAGTTATCATTATTATTGTGTCAGCGAAGCGGCAATAAAATATTTACTACCATTTTGCACAACATACTTCTGCGAAGCGGTTTTTCGGCCGTGACAAACATGAATCGTCATTGACTTTGATTCGAAGATGACTCGAGACTGAAGCTGACCAAAAAGCAACCAGATTTTACAAAGTTGTGCAAAGAAAATCGTGCACATTTGTCACATTAAAATTAAATAACCTTATGTTATTTTCATTATTATTAGAATTGTATTTTAAAGGTAATAAATGTAAAAAAAAAAACTTATTTTATTTATCACTAGCTGTCTACCCATGGCTTCGCCCGCATTATATCAAATTTTCTCGTAGGAGTAAGATATTTTCTTGCAGTAAAATGTAGCCTATGTCCATCTCCAATGTGTAAGCTATCTCAGTGCCATATTTCATTAAAACCTGTTCAGCAGTTTAGACGTGAAAAGGTGACAGACAGACAGAATTACCTTCAAATTTATAATATTAGTATGGATTAATATGAATTTCTGCTATAAGGGGTACGCGAGTTTGAGCTCTTTCTTGAAGTGGTATGCAGGAAAAAGTAATTGGGAACCACTGATATAGACCATTCAAGTATTATGCCAGTAGTTTCTGGTGAGGAATTTTTTGTATATGACAGTAGCTTATGATGGGGGAAGGAGTGAGACTTTTATGATGTAAGATTCACTCATCATTTATTTTTCTTCCCAGTCGATAAAATTTTCTAAAAATAATTCCTGTATATTTACAAATAGCTTTAATTTCTAGCCTGATGTAAGGATATTATTTGAACCTTTGAAAATTCTTAGCATTTTTAGGCTTCAAAGCTTTGGGAAAAAATGAGCTGAAGTTACAAAGATTTTAGTTAATATTCAAACAATAGTAAAAGTAAATTTCAAAACAGAAGAAATTAAAATGTTGGTGTTGGCCCAAAATGCAGAGAAACTTTACTCAGCTTTCAAAATCATTGAGAACCTGCATCAACCACTAATGAAAGGATTTTCTTGATTTGTAGTAACATTTTAACAAAAATAAAGACACTATTGTCTTGTTGACCCATATGAATAAAAACAAGTATTACCTTATTCTTATATAATTTGAAGAAAATCCTTTTAGCTGTATGAATAAAACTAGAAGCAAAATCTTATACTTATGAGCATGAAACTGATCTAGATGAGATGATTGTCTTTATAAAAGTGTTGACGCTCAAGAGTTCAGCACTAGAGGGCAGTTTGAAGATAGGCATTATCAGAGGAGGTGATCCTATTCCTTTATCGGCAGAGTGGTTGAAGAACTGGTGATGATTCATTGATTTGTGGAGGAATTGGCAATGACTTTAACCATCAGGGGAACTGGCAACGACTGCCTGAATCAGCTGTTTGTTCATTATTTTAGAACTGCAGAATACAGCCAGGAGGTCAGAAGGTTGCAGGAAAGCATTTCTTTTGGCACTGAGAACACAAGCTGAGACACTCTCAAGTAAAAAAGTTGACAATTATCACTGCCGACAACATTGTATTGACAAAATTTCCCTTTTTCCTGATTTAAACTAATTATTAAGTCCAGATTCTCACATAAGCTTGGTGCTTTGAAGCAAGATGTAGAAAAAAATAATACAGGTAAAAATATTGTGGGTACCACTTCCAAGCACCAGCTTATCTTTACCAAAGAAAAACTCCTAAGATAAATTTTGACTGTTGTCTAAATTGTCATAAGTTTTCACTTGAAACAATATTTTTATGTTTCTTTGCAGACACACTAAGGTGACATATTTCAACACTTGGCAAATTATTCACTATTTATTCAGTCAATATTTTTATGTCTTGGATGTTTGTTTGGATATCAATTGTTTTTTATTTAATAATTGTATTATTATATCATCATCTTATGTCTTATGAATTGTACAGTATATCATTGACCAAACACTTTCAATATTCATTTCAGTTAGCACTGACCGAATGCATTGCCAACCAACACTCTGTCAAATACACTGCCAGTTAAATGTTTTCAATGTTCATTTCAGTTGGTGCCAACTGAACACATTGCTGACCAACATGCTGTCAACCAGCACATTCAATATGATGATTAGAAAAATTGTTATAAAAAGTTTTAATTTGCATGAATTTGAACTTTTATTTTGCATAACATTTTGAATAAAATTCATTTCTTTCAATGCAATTTTATCCATATAACAAATACGTACTGGAAGTAGAAAAATAAACTACATTGATATAAATCCAGCAAAATTTAATAAAATAGCATTTTCAATCGTTTTTCAACAATCACCCAATCTATACGAGACTAGCACTTAAGTTGTGCAAGGCAAGGGCTCAGTTTGAATTTCTCACGCAGTGCCGCCTGAATGGTGCTTTTCCAACCTATAAGGCACATGAGAACCAGTTGTATAAACCATAGAGACGCCGACTCATTGTCTACTGCGTGGAAGTCCTTTTACAATTATTAATTTTTNAAGTAATTAGAACCATATAAAAAAAACTAGTCTTTTCCTTTAAACATAACATTGCCAAATGACATGATTTTCTAAGCCAAACAAAACACAAAAATAACAAATTCAACAGACTATGTTTATCCAAAATTTCAAAATAGATTTACAATTGAGTTTAAAAAGAACAAGACACTTACAGCAATTAAGAATCTTTAACTCATTTGTACCACATATAAAGAACAAAGTGAAAAAGTGTATATACATTAACTATATATATATATATAAATACTATAAAGTAAGGAAAATCTTTAATTTAAAGCATAAAGCATTTGCATTACTTCAGAAATACAACTAGGAAAAATCTAATCATGTAAAAGAAACAAAGAATATAACATAAGCATAATCATCCTACATTTTACTTTGAGAAGTGAACTCTTATTTGGAAGAGAATATCATAAACATTAAAAAATTATTTGCTTAGATCAGTGTTTCTCAACCTTTTTCTACTCGCGGCACACCTATGACTCAAAATGACTCAACACGACACACCAAAATGTTATTCCCCTCAAAAGCATATGATATGATACTATTAATAGAATTACGTAATGCCACTAACCTATTATTATTATTATTTTTATTATTATTATTAAACAGATATCAACACCCATGAGCAAATTTATTTTACATTTAATTTCTTAAAATACATAAAAATGCGTGGCTTGTGATAAAGAATAAACGAACATCATCTTATTTCATAAGTGCTGCGGCACTTAATTAATAACACTTGAAATACAAGCATAAGAAGCACAGCAACTGTGATAAAAATATATAAATAAAGCTTGAAATGAATAGAATATGTAAAAGTTCACGTCACACCTTACACCTGGTTGCGGAACACTGTTCTAGACCCGGTAGTTCTTTCTCTACAAGTGTCTGCAGTAACAGATGAATAAAAAGAAAATACAGCTTTTTTGGTGATTTTTGCACTTTTAAATTGCTTATATTTTGGCAACCGCAATTTTATGTTATTCATAATAAGGTACTAAAATTATTTTTTTTTTATAGATATTGTGCAAAACTTCCATGTGATAAAACTTCACGGTTAGTACCACATTGGAGACTTGAAACTGTTCATTTAAATTGTGATGTTAATTCTTCAGATTTAGGCTATATATGTTTATTACGGCTTCCTCCAAATTCACCATTAAACAAAATAGTCGCAGTAAGTATAAATCTTGTTATCTATATATCTATATATATATAAAAATGGACATGTGTGTCCCTATATTTCACTTTTCCGCCAAAACTACACATCGCACATGAATGGTGTTTGTATGTGGTAGTAGCCCCAAGTCTCCATTCGTGCACTATGGGGGTGTGTCTCGATAGCTATAACGGTGCGGGAGATATGGGCTTGAAAGTGGTTGAAAGTGGTTCTCTATTTCGAATTTTATGTTCAAATTTGTTCGAATTTAATTCAAACATAAAATTTGAATATTGGTTCGATTATAGAACGATTGTAAATGTTCCAAAAACATTGAAAATAGTTTGTTTGACTGGACGTGAACAGGAGACATTCAGAAATAGAATCGGGACCAGGTCTCTAATTACTCTTGAAACGGGGGGCCTAATTCTTGCATTCTGTGAAAACGGGTAAGATTGGCTATAATGTAATTATCTTAATCTTCACTATCATTACTTTTTAAAAACCCAGCGAAGCGGGTCCTTGCAGCTAGTATATATATAAAAATGGACGTGTGTGTCCCTATATTTCACTTTTCTGCCGAAACTACACATTGCACGTGAATGGTGTTTGTACGTGGTAGTAGCCCCAAGTCTCCGTTTGTGCATTATGGGGGTTGCGTCTCGATAGCTATAAGGGTGCGGGAGATATGGGGCTGAAAGTGGTTGAAAGTGGTTTTCTGTTTCAAATGTTATGTTCGAATTTAATTCAAACATAAAATTTGAATATTGGTTCGATTATAGAACGATTGTAAACGTTCCAGAAACGTTGAAAATAGTTCGTTTGACTAAAAGAAAAAATTCTATAATTAGTCTGGAAACGGGGGACCTAATTCTTGCATTCTGTG